GGGAGCGTTGGTGGGTGACCATTAGAGCCCTCCCGGCGTTACCTCAGCCCGCCCCGCTCCTGAGGGGAGCTTCCCAGCCAGCCCTAATGCTGATTTCTTTTTTAAAAAAGTGATCTTTTTGTGTGTGCTGAAAGTAACAAGATTCCCCTCTGAACACAAGCTGGGCAGACGCTGAGGGGGCTGGTAGAAGGGGGGACTCCTGCGGACCCTCGAGTTGGCTCTAGGGTCCAGGCGCCATTTGGCAGGGGAAGGGGAAAGCAGGAAAGGCGAAAGGGGGTTATCAACAGTTGTGTCGTCCTCCTCGATGGCTACCGATACCGGGGTAGGTTTTGTCTCCTTTTTCGGTACCGTGCAAAATGTTGGGTGAGGCACGGACATTGCTGTGACCCAGCGTCGTCAGCGCTCTAACTCCGCTCTTCTCTGGCTCCTTTAGGACACTTGTTTGTTGCCCTCCTCTCTCGGGCAGAAATAGCCTGTCCTTGCTTTCCTGTTGAGCCTTCTAAGCTGTGTTCCCCTTCCTGATCGTGTGTCTGCACTAAGCATTGTTAGCTGCCAAATGCATCTCGGAGATCCTTTGACAAGAGCCCCCCTAACAAGCCCCCCAGAGGGTTGATATATATCAGATGTCCAGGTCTTTGCTGACAGAAGGGGGCTGTGCCGGTCCCCTAGATCCCTAACGCTCTCCCTTCTGTTTTGCAGGAACAGAGGAAGTGGTCTTTGGGAAGGTTGGGGGAAGCATCCTCCTTTTATGCCGAAATGTCTCCAAAGAAGCAACCGAGGTGGTCTGGTTTCAAGGGGATCCGCACTCCTTCCCCCCACTCTTCTCCTCAAGGGTCGCCTTCCCCCCGGACATCCGTTTCTCCCTGGTTGACAACAGCTCTCTGCGCATCACAGAGCTGCGTGTGCAGGACGAAGGCAACTACACTTGCAAGGAAGTGCTGAACAAGACAGACCATGAGCACAGGGTCCAGCTCCTGGTAGCCAGTAAGTCTGTCCCACGTCTATGAATTTCCCCCCCTTGAGTCTCACAGGTCCCCAGATTTCATCTGGCGCTGGTGGAAAAATAGTGTGAAAAGGGGCAAGGTGGCCTTACTGTGCAAAATCTGTGAGCAGGCTGATACTACTCAGTTACACGTTCCCTCACGAGCAGAGTGATGTGTGTCCAAATAGTCTGGCAAGGATCAGTTGTGTGTGATGCAGAGGATGGGATGCCAGCTGTTAAGTCCTCACTATGTCACTTCCTTCTTCGCTGGTGATGATAAACTAGTTTTTGAACACGTCTTTCATATCCTGTAGCTGTTCCAGGGTGGTTCTTTGCCTCAGAATCTGGCTGACTTCAGCCTTCATAAATCTTAGGGTGTGGGCTGCTGCTCACCGTCTTTTTTCCCTTGATTGAAATACATGTTTGAAATAGATGTGCTGTGCCATTCCTTGTTGCCATCCTTTTGGTGTGAGGATGGAGGGTCCTCAGCTGACGAGTTGTCTGTGCTGAGCCTTAGAGTGCAGCCTTCCGATTTTGATGGAAACACCGCGTTCCTCAAATTTACTGCCGGGAGCACTGTCCTGGGAGCGTGCCTGTTGTTATCAGCGCAGGCCATTCTTTCAGCCTTTTTTTCCTGTCGTGTCTTTTGGTGCTTACTCTCATTTCCATCCCTATTTCATTCAGCCATTCTCTTAGAAATCTCCACAGCACGGGTGGAAGATCAGGCTGGAGGGCGTTCAAGTCGATGACTTTGCACACTGCTGGCACAGGTCCTTCCTTCTTCTGCCGGGGAGTCATTATCTTGCCCAGATGTCCCATCTCTTTTGTGGGAACAGCCCCCTCCGGCTTAGCAGGGAGCGCAGGTCCTATGGCTGGTACCACTCTTGGCCCCTTCACCAAATCTGATCAGATGTGACATAGGCTCTGGCCCCTCAGACCTGGGCTGTGACCTGCTGTCCTTTATGCCAGCCAAGCCCCTACTCTAGGGTTGAGAAGAAGGAAAGCCTTCCTTGCTTCCAGTTTGCCTTTTTCGGTGACACTCTGTGCTCTGTTGGCCCCTTCGTTTCTTGCTGGTCTTTCCGTCAACACCTGCCAGGTGTGAGACCTGTTTTCTATTTGCATTCAGGGTGTTCCTTCCTTCTCGGTGTTTGGTGAAGGGTGCGTGTTGTAAAAGTTGTACCTGTTTTGTACAGATTAAATCTCTGTAAGTTCACATGAGTAAAAATTCCCTTCCTGGGGCAAGGAACCTGTAGATGGGGCTTGAAGGGTCATGGAGGGCTGGAGTGAAGGAATTGAGCCCCAGGCTGCTTCAGAGAATATATATGTAGGCGTGGGGCTTAAGAGGCGGGAGCCCTATGTCTGGAGCATTGGTGCAAAACACTCGTGTGCAAAAAGTGTTGCACATGACACGCTCATGACGCAAAAGATATCTATGGCATGCCAAGTGTTGGTACTGCACTCTGAACTTCATTTATTAGTGTGGAATTAATGTGTCAATTAATGTCCAAAGGTTACAAAGGTGATATGGGATAGTGGTGTGCCCTTAAATAGGCGAGAGAGGTATTTCTGGTGGAGCAGAAGAAGCATCAGCAAAGGCCAGAACCTGAAGCTTCTCAACCTCAGACTAGAAGCACGGGCCCTGATTTTTCACAGTCGCTGTTGCTAAAGCAACTTAGCTTGGGCTGGGGTGAACCTCTCAGACACGGACTTGGCACCGCTGTAAAAGAGCCACCCAGGATCTGTAGGCTTCCTGTGGGAGTTACCAGTTGACAGTCTTCAACCCATCTCACGGGTTGGACCAAAAAGTTCTCTTTTTGCTTAAAACTGCATTTAAAAAAAACACAAGCAGTAGAGGAAACATTCTAGCAACACGACACAGGTGCAGCCCTGCCTTCAGCTGCTGTTCTGTGTTTGTTTTGGATAGGAAGCACATGGCGTGAAGGAAACGTGCAATTGCACACCTCCAAGGGATTCCGTGGTATGTTTGTGCGCAATTTGATGTAAGCCGCTGTTGGCGCTTCTGTGGGCATGAGGTCCTTTTTGCTGGTGTTTTGTGAAGTTTTTTTGGTTGCAGGGGGCGGGAGGTTTTTGGGTTGGGAACAGATCTCCCGTTAGCGTTTAGACAGAGGAGCAGAGCTGTACTGGGAGAGCCCTGGAGTTGAGGATGTAAAGCTGGTGGCTTTAGGAGGCAGGTTTCTGGAACCAGCACAAAAAGTGCAGCTCTCTGGCTGGACGTCTGGAAAGACTGTGTCCGCCTCTCGACGCGGGGCAGCTTCTGGTGATTCAGGCTGACAGGTTGCTCATATTAACCACAGCCAGGATTCAGGATCGGTTATGAGACCTCCCCAGAGCTGGGACAGAGGAAGTGTTGTAGAGAACTTTCTTGCCAGAGCTGGATGGTTTCAAAGATCATACGAGATGCGTGTAACAGTTCCTGGAAAGCCAAGCCCCAAGAAGGTATTTTCTTGTAGCTCACATGGGGTTTTGCCATGATGATTTTTTTTTTTTTTAACTTGTGTCATTTGAAAGTCACTTGAATAAATGCTCTGCAAAATAAACATCAGGCATCCCTCTGACACCTCTTGCGTGGGACTTGCTTCGGCAGCATCTGATCTCTCAGTGGGGTCTTGTTCAGTATTGGATTAGGCAAGTCAGCCACACAGGCACAGTGTGTTAATTCTGCCTGGATCAGAGTCCAGAATCCCTATGGCTGTTAAATGAACACGTGTGTGTATCTGTGCATGGG